AAGCACATTAGAACTGTATACAGTAGTGTTGTATGGTCTATTGTAGGCAAAGACACCAGAAAATTTGAAGATTGTGTAAACATTATCAATTGGCTAGAGGAAAAATCTCGCACGATGAATAAAGCAAGGATTTTATTTTTCAAAAAAAATAGAAAGGATAAACAGGACTAATGCTAATTATCTTTTTCTTTGTGTACCAAAGGATTTGTTTTCCAAGAGGTCAAAGAAGTCTTGTGTTGGTAATATTTTAGAAATAAAAATGATATTCATATATACTTTTATAGTATCATTTATCTCTCCCTCTCTCTCGTCATATTATCAAAACTTTTACTTTTACTTCTCCTTTTGTCTTTATCTTTCACTAAACTTATATGATCAACGAGTGCATGAATAATATTTTTCTTTTGAAAAAACCATTCGACTACGTGCTGGCACTATGCCAATCGTGCTTGATTCAAAGCTTTATTAAACAACTGTGATAAGGTCATGGTAGTTGAACTCTTGTTTGACCCTTAAACAACTGTAATTTCAGGTTTGACACTTGGAGCATTCAATCCCATGAACCTTGTTAATGCCCCCCCCCCCCCCCCCCAAAAAAAAAAAACTGTTATATAATAATAATGTAAAAAATATAATCTGTAACGTTAAAATGAATTTACATTTAAAAATATTTCAACGTTAAGTCGAACACACTGAAAGTGCAAGGACAAACCAATTTTAGATAAAAATTACTTTGAGTAACCTTTAAGTTAAATTAGGTGGGAAAAAAATTAATTTTTGAAATATAAGAGGTTAGGAGGTTTTAATGTAAGATTTCGGACTCTAAATTCGTTATCTAACAATCAATAGCTAATTGAGTTAAGGGTAATTGCATAATAGTAATACAAGAACTTCAAAAACACAAAACCTAAGGCCCACTCATGAGTCTTTTCCCACTAAGGCTGCACACTAGAGAAAAAAACATGTAGTATTTTTCCACAAACATATCTTTCCGGCACCCATTGGTGAAATACGAAAACAGTTACTGCAGTTAATTTTCAGCTTTGCATTTTTGATAGTTACGTTGAACTTTAATGTTCGACTTTGAAAACAGGTTCTACTATAGTTGTATAGCATTTACTTTATTTGAAAGCGAAATGCAGATAACACTAGCTAGCAATTGTCTCTTTGGTGGCAAAGGCATAGATCCCCATCAAATCAATGACACCCTACATTTGTCATGCAGAACAAATTAACCTCTCAGAAAATTGTCAAAATTAATAGATGCTAGCTAGCTAGGGAACAAACTAATCAACAACATTATCAGTGGTGCATTAGGTTATAATTGACATGATCTATAAGCTAGCATCGGCAAAGACGTGGATGATCCTGCTGCTTTCTCATGCGTGTTGCATCTCTGAATGAGAAAAGAAATCAACATCGATCATCCCATCAAGAAAAAAGCATGCATTATGTACTATAGGACTGCAATTTGATCCAAATTCAATGAGTACCTATAAAAATTATTCGTAATAAGTAGAGTATTTATTTATTAATAAGGGTCTGGGATTAAGTAATTATTTACAAAATTTTGCGAAAGCATATCCTACTCATACTTGTATTTTATATTTATTATACTTTACAATTAGAATTTTAAAGTTTTTAAAATATTATTTTTAATTACGTTAAAGAATTTTGTATGTAATGCTTTTATAATTACATGAACTGAATTATCTATGAATATATATATATATATATATATATATATATATATATATTATCAAGTTACATATTTTACTTTTAGTCAATTTCTATTATTTTTATAATTAATATTAATATATAGTAATATTTATAATTTATTAGTCTATCAAAATAACACATAATTGAATATTATAAACAAGGTAACTAAAATGCAAGTAATGAGCTTGACTACTGAGTACATAGTATATTCAACAAGTAAGGGTAGGAGCACTGAAATTGCTACTCGTATGAATACATGACTTTGATTTTGGATAAGTTATTTTTGTAAATGTGAGTATGAAAAGATAGGGTGATTCTAATATCATCTCATATTTTGTAAAAAGTAAGATAAAATTGTCTTTTTTAAAAGTTTTCAAATATTTTGGACCATTGATCAAAATTAGATGGTTAAAAATAAAAGATAAGAAATCAATTGTACAAGTTATATTTAAAAAGGATATATTAGTAATTTTCTTTCTTTCTCATTCAGTTCCTCTTCTTTGTTTTTTTTCTTGTTATCTTTTTCCTTTTCTTCTTTAGCGTTAATAACATAGTTCAGACTCAGAAAAAAATATTAAAAAATACTAAAAAAATTGAAAGCATAAATTAATATTCTGGAGATACTTCAGCAAGTTCTCATCCTTATTTATGTTCTCATCCATATGTTAAAATATGGTAAATATGGATTTATCAAGAATCCTTATAAAATATGTTTATGTTCTCCTTTTATCTTTGAAATATGGTACAGTTTTCTTAAGAAAATCAAGACTTGGTAGAAATCTGTGTCAAAAATTGCAACAAACTCATAATCTTTTACATAATCACAGCTTGAAATTCTCATCTTTATATCTTGGACTAACGGATAGATTATATTGATTCTCTTTTGATTTTATTTTGTGACTTGATTAACCATTGTCTCCTCTGTGTGACGTAATTTTCTTTTAAATGTTATTTTCTAGATCGGTTCTGTAGAGGAACTCATGTAAAAAGCTAATATCACTATTTTTTACATTGATCTTATTGGAGAATTGATATGCATAAAAAGCTAACGTATACTTTTTACATCGGTTATGTAAAGGAACTGATGTAGAAAGTTAACGTAACTACTTTTACATCAGTCCTAAAAGAAAACCTATGTTGAAAGTTAACATCTCAACATCAAAAATAAAGTAAAGCTAGTGTATACTTTTTACATTGGTTATACGAAGGAACTGACGTAAAAAATTAACGTAATTACTTTTACATCAGTCTTACTAGAAAACCTATATAAAAAGTTAACATCGTCGTAATTTTTTGAAGGTGCATATTATTCTAGGTAAAGAGTTCTATTATTTCACTGGATAGAATTTTAATCTTTTGACTTTACTTTGCTGATTCTATGTAGGTGTATGAGCAGTCTTTTAATGTTCATTTTTTTACTTGGATAAACTTCAGATGTAGTTGAAACACCTTAGACGCAACTATGTTTGACCCCTTCTTTCATCTCTCATATCATTATGCTAATTCCCTCTAAACGGTATAATTATTGTCGCTGTCAATAGTAGAAACGAAGTGATACTACTAATTTGATGTCTTTCTACGGTAACGACAAGATTATGTTAGGATTTAGAGGGATCGCTGTTACAGTGAAAACATGTTGATATTATATATCACTTAATAAAAATTAACCTTTTTTACATGTCTATTGACAAATTATAATTTTATGTGATTTCAGATAGAAGAAAAATATTAGAAATGGAGGAGGTTAAAAGAAAAGGAGAGAGATGAGAATGGAGGAACTCTGGATAAACTGAGAAGAAAAAGATAAAGAAAAAATATTTACCTTTTTACTCTTCATTAACATGTTATTACCTAAAATAGTCACATGTTACTTTCGATTATTAACTTTTTCATCTATCAATCTTAACCATTTATTTTTATCTACAAATATCGACAGCTTAGTATTAATTTCGCTTTACTTATTAAAAAATATTATTTTTACTTTTTACAAAAGAAGGGAGGATATTAGAATCTTGAAAAGATATTGTAGTATCTTATTTATGTCATATTTATTGTCTCTTTCTCTTTTATGACTACTTTTAAGAACAAATAAAGAAAAATTGTGTACTATGTAATCTTTCTTTCAATCTTTTTGTTTCTTTTAGGTCCTCAAAGTGAAACGAAATAGATTAAAAATTATAACTGATATATTAGAAACTACGTCTTTTTCGCTTTACATTATTTTTTATTTTAACTCTTACGTGATAAAGTTTTATATTTTGGTACTTACATAAAAATATATTTATTAATTGATCTTTGTCATCTATCAAAGTTATAACAATACTCAAATGTGATCCTTATATTTGATAATATTTTCAATTTTATTTAATCAAAAGAAATATATTTTATCCTTAAACACATTCTTTTTCCTTATAAAAACATCAGCACCATTATAAATTCAAAAATTCATTAGGAGCTAATTTGTAATTTTTTTTATGTATAAACCTAAATATATTTTTTTCATGTAAAAATTAAGGCAGGAAGCGTGTTAATTACATGTTAATTGTGACAACCAAATTTTTAATTTAACCTTAAGATGTCTCATATTCACTGGTGTTGGTTGGGATCAAGGAGAATCACCTTCTATTGTATGATTGACAACCATAAACTCAGACCAAAAATGACTCGACTTCTAAAAAAGGAACATCAATTGGACTTGAAAAATCGTTCATGTTTGGATGCTGTGTTTAAGAATTTCACTGGAAATTAAGTTTTTTTTGTTAATGAAGATTGTAAATCAAAGCAATCTAACTGTTGGTAACTTCATTTCTTTGGGAAATTACAATCTAATGGTATCCACAGCAAACGATGTGTTACCAGGCAAAATCGCTAATGGAATATTGTTCATAATACCAGACACGAGGCTTTTTCCCGCTCCAAATATCATTTACATAGTTTCACATACTTGGCTTTACGCGATCATCCAATTGTTTATCACATCATTCAGAGGTGCGATTTTATTTATATATTTCTGTTAGTGCAAAATGCCAATACTTAACGATGAGGAGTTGTTTTAACCAAAGCACATCGCAATGGATGAAAATCCAACCACTCCATTATAGTTTCTTGAACTTGCACATTTTCGTTGACCAAAGATTCCATCAGCTCCACTTGAATACTAACTACATGTATGTGTATGTATATATAACAACCAGAAATCTGCTTCATCAACAACGAAATCTCTCTCTCAAATCCTAATAACAAGACTCGTCCTCACTGCAGTACTGGTTATTGTGTGTAAAATGGCCAATGTTTTCTTACACAATCCTAACACCTACAAGGCCACTCTCTGCCTCTTTTTCCTAACTACAACCTTTTTGATTACCAACTCTGCAAGGATCCTAGATGAAGTTGAATCCCAACCTCAAGCTATAGGCAATCTACCAGGACCTGGTGCTGTCAACCCTTCAGTCACAACAGGTCCAATCAACACCATACCACAGATAGGGACAACTTTGCCAAGTGGCCAAACACCTGCAGCCACCACCATCAATCCTGCTACAGCAGACCCCGGAGATGAAGATGACAATGCAGACCCACCAGTTCCAGAAACAGAAGCTCCAGCTGCTGTCACTGCACCAGCTGAGGACATTCCCCCAGTGGCAAGTCCTACTACAGAGGAAACTCCAGAACTTCCACAGCCAGAGGCTGAAGTCCCAGCTGTTGCTGCTATAACACCAGTGATAGCAAAGCCTGTGGCGAAAGAGCCATCATTCTCTTTTTTCATGCATGATATCCTTGGAGGGTCACATCCATCAGCAAGAGTGGTGGCAGGAATTGTAGCAAACACTGACGTCACTGGCCTACCTTTCTCCAAGCTCAACAACAATCTCTTCCCAATCACTGGAGGAATCCCACTGGTTAACCCAAAGCTCAATGGCATCATCACCAACAACAATCTCCCACTCCTTGTAGGCCTCAGTGGTGCACAATCTTCCACCGTGTTCAAAAACAGTGGCACCAGTAACACAGTTACTGGCAGCAACAACCAGCCATTTGTTTCCGCTGGTAACCTCCCTGAAGGGTTTACAATCCAGAAGCTCATGTTTGGGTCGGTCACAGTGATTGATGACCAGCTAACAGAAGGGCATGAGCTGGATTCTGCTGTAATTGGAAGAGCACAAGGGTTCTACTTGGCAAGTTCATTGGACGGTACTAGCCAGACCATTGTGCTGACAATTTTGGTGCATGGTAGTGAGCATCACGACGGGGTGGAGGACACTATAAGTCTCTTTGGGGTTCATAGGACAGCATCACCAGAATCTGAAATAGCAGTGATTGGTGGGACTGGGAAGTATGAGAATGCCAGAGGATATGCTGCACTTGAGACCCTTCTAAAGGAAGACCAGCATACCACAGACGGGGTGGACACCATCCTGCATTTCAATCTCTACCTCACTGAGTAGTCGCCCCATGTAATTGGATTTCATATTTGGTGTTTGAATTTGTGTATGGTTGTTAAAATTGGCAGTGTCTCAGTTAATGCTTGATTAAGTTTGAAACAACATAGCTCATTCTGCTTCCTTTTAGTTTTTAGTTAACGTCCCTTTTTTCTTAATTTCCACATTCCTACTGCATACCGTGAGAATATTCTCCTAAACATTATTCCATATCTATATCAAAAATACCACCACCTATATGTGAATAATTATTTCCAATTAATGAAGTGGCTAATTATATTTATGTTATCAATTTTGAATACTGGCATGTAGCCCAGCTGGATGACCTGTTATTCTAAATTTTTATATAAATTACAGCAATTATGCTATACATATAAATCGTCCAAAATTTAGAAAATAAATATTAGAACTCTGAATTCATGTATATTCATAATTACAAAAAAAAAATCATAAATCTTAAACAAAACATACACGTTTATAGCAACAAAAGTCAAGGAAATAAACTTTAAGCTTAAAAGTAACAAAACATAGAAGATCTAAAAAAAAATTTCTTCATAGGAATCGTCGATCATCCTCTTCAAGTTTTTATTTTTATCACTTTCACCATTACAGTGATAGATTTCTTCTTCTTTATCATCTTAAGCTCCTTCATCAATTTCTGTGACTTCATAATCTTCTTAAATGACTTCCTTTCTTTTTCTACTTTCTCTAGAGGTTGAAGACTTTGATGAAACTTCTCTCATTCTTGTTTGTTGCTTAGTGAAGGTTAGAGATTTTTTAGCCTCGATTATATTAGCAATAGCTCCCAAGTTAAGCTATCAGAACTAAAAATCAAATCATTTTCAGCATATTCACCATCTCTACCCATTTTTTCCACTAGCCACTCGTTAATATCATAAATATCATCTAAAAGAATGGGATCAATAACATGACAACTGTCATAGTGTTCTTTTAGTACTGGGTAACGTAAATCAAGTCTTGCAACTTAATTCTATAAATTTAAATTATTTAATATTAACCTACATGTTGAAAAGTACTCCAATAATGCCGGCATCCCAATGAACCATGAGTCGAGCTCAATACTATAATATAATGTATCAGCTTGTTATGCAATTTTATGTAAATAAATTTATGTCAAAAAGAAAAATTACACTTCCACTTACCAGAAATTGTCGTGGTCCTTTGCCTTATTTCTGCTTTCAACCAAATGAAACCTCCAACACTCTTATATATTGACAATTTATTAGAAATCATATCCGCAACTTCTTCATTTTCACTAAGTCATTCAATGCATTGACGAAGTCCTTCCATCACTTCAGCATCAAGATCAATTTCTTAGTTATTTTTTTATTTTTAGAAAGAAGTAAATCCATGAGGCCTTTACATTTTCAGTTTTCATGGCAGCAGGCAAAAGGCCTAATTTGATAATGTTACTGGCCTTTTTCCACGTTGAATACTCGTAATTCCCTGCCCCTCTTCTTCGTTTTAATCTTCTTGCAACTCATTCAACTATGAATCCTTTTCTCCCATTTTTTTTTTCTCGAAGGCTTCCTTTAACATCTTAACTTAGTGGAGTTTTCTTACAGCATTGACATCTCCCCTAATTCCCATTTTGTCTTTTTGTTCTAGTGATTCCTTCGCTAGTAGTTTTTTTTACAGAAGTCACATGTGACACTCCTCCCATTGTTTAAATCTTTCAAACTGTTCCACTGCCATGCTACGTTAATGCTGTAAAAAAGCCACTGATACTAATGCTGCAGCAATAAGAGGCGGCTTTTGGTGAACCAACAGATGCGTTATTTGGTCAGGTGGAAGATGCCATAATTGTTAAACTACGGGAGATAAACAGAAAGGAGTTCATTAGTTTAGGTCTTTTAGACGAGGATGGTTCATGAAAATAAAAAGAATTAGAGAGAATAAAAAAGCTAAAACTGAACAAGGGGAAAAATCAGACAAAATGAAAATGGATGTCAAAACACAATAGTAAAAACCCAACAAAACACAAAAAGATAGGAAGAAAAAGAAGAGGACAACCTGTGAGAAAAGCTGAAAACAAACAAAAATGAAAAACAGAGCACTTGCCTGACCACACAAGCCCAACAAAGAGAGCATAGGTTTGTCAAAAAAATAAATGCAAGAACCTAACTAGGAAACATCAAGAAATGACTAGAAAGTCGTCAAACAATGGGAAGTAATTGGGTCGCACAGTGATAGGACAGAAACAATTACACAACACTGCATGATTTAACCCATTTATATTTTTTTTTAAACCAAAATCGCCAAAATACCCTTAAAAGTGTCTCTGCAACATTAAGTAGTGAGGTTGCTTTTGTGGCCAAAACATGTGCAAAACGCGAATACTCCAATTGAGTTTGTCTTTGTTGGATGATTAAAGGTCCCATATTTAGTGGGTTAGTAACAAAATAAATAGTATATAAACGAGAGCCATGAGCCTAAATTGTGAAGATATTTTAAATAAGTAAACCAAACTAAGTTATAAGTCACTTTTTTCATTAATTTTAAGTCAAGCTTATAATCAAATTATAAAATGGTATCAGAGTCAAATTCCAAACAAATAAATAGTAAATAAAAGATATAAAATAAATAAGTCAATTCAAACAAACTTTAAAAAAGAAAAAGAAAAAAAATCCTAGACAATAACATATAAAAGGAAAAACTTGAAGCAAAGGTGCAAAGTCTAAATTAAAAACAATTAAGTCACAACTAAATTAAAATAAGTTGAACTTGAGGAGAGGTTAAATAATAAAAAGTTTCACATTTGATGAATCAGTAACAAAATAAAGAATGTATGAGTATGGGTGCCATGAGTGTAAATCGCCAAAGCCTTATAACAAACACACACTGGATCGGACCAACACTCCAATCCTAATAATCTTAGCCACTGGAACAAAAAGTTGAGAATAGTCGAGCCCCTAAGTTTGAGTGAGCTTTTTTGTAACTAACCTTGCATTTCCACATTCTCATTAGCTTCGCATTTTACAGAAAACAAATTACAGCCTACTACTACTTAATATCTTCCAAATACAGTGTGTTCATAAATTGATCCAGTTCATCGTGAATCACAAAAGATGAATACTGAATAAATTGAAAATCAAAATAACAATTTCTTCTCTCTATTGAATTTGATCAAATAGAAGTTCACCTATGTGAACACAATTTTCACATAAAAAAGGAATAATCGACGTCCTTAAATAAAGGTGAGAACAGATGTTTTCAGATATTGACACTTAGATGTCCTAGCCTACAATGTTAAAGCATTACTGGTCCTTAGACAAGTAAAGAACTTGTACCACTGTAATCCTGGAGTTATTTCAACCTCAAGATTCTTTTTATGGTAATAAAGTCAATCTATCATCCTGGCACTACCTATCATTTTCTCAGAAGTCTAGTCCTGAAACATAGAATCCAAGAAAATAACATTGCAAATGGTATCAAGACAAATTATTTTTGACAAACCAAAGGTTATAAAAAAGGTTTAGGAGCTGGTGATACTAGATATAGAGATGATATCTTTCTTTGCAATAGGAGACACACTACCATCTATGATTCTAACATTTTCAATAAAAGAACAAGGAAAATAAATTTTAAACAAAGATAAAACGCTAGTCATGCAGCCAAATGTTCCTGGATCATTAGTTAAATGTTTCTGAATCAATGATCCACAAGACAATCTATGCCACAAGAATAACATCTAAAACACTAAAGATATCTTGTTATGCAATAGAACCACTAAGAATACTAAAAGATGTACTAGCCTATAAAAGTTTGATGAGTTTATCAATCTAGTCTTTATTGATAAGGTGCCAAACAGAGTTAGGCTTGATGAAATCTTACATAAACTAAAATATAGTTAAAATGGAGCTTATAAATATTAAAGAAATTATTGAAAAGGAAGAGAAAAAAGAGACATGATGAATCTATGTACTTAAACTACTAAGTAAAATATATATTCATAATAAGAATGATTAATACACAAATTAAATATGAGGATATACAATTACATATTATCATAATTAAAAAAATAAGAAAAGAGTTTGAAGGGTAAGAGAAGAGGAATGATGATTAATAAAAAAAAATTCAAATTGAAAAAAAACTTAAAAACATAGACTCAGGAGTGTTTTGTAAGGTTTATTCCTTCTTATCTAAAAATTTTCAAACAAAGTTTATCATCAAATCTATATTCCTCTTTCCTACCTTCTCCCTTTCTCTAACCAAAACTAACTCTAAAATAAGTCTTCGTATCTATGAGTAATCTTAAACTTTCAACCACACTTGACGTGAGACTCAAAACTTTGGCTCTAGGATGATGTTGGTCCTGAATGAGAGTTGTTAACACTACACAAGTCCATCTATTAAGAGTAGAAAAAAACATGCTTAACTGTATTAAGACTGTTAGAGGAACTTAGAAAATATGAAAATAATATTTTTCTATATTGAATAATGATCATACAATACAATTCCTCTTACAAGGAGGCAGTGGCACATTATTCTACAAGAAATGAAAATCACAAAATAGATAGCATATAATTAACATCATAAATGTTGATTTCCTAAGTACAAGAAATTTACATTCAGACCTTATATACATGATGCAACAAGCCAACAACAAAACATTATTTATCAACATATCTCTTAAAATAACTTTTTCTAAGATTTTTTAAAATTTTCCTCTAATTTGTTTATTAGACTAAAAGTCATATCATCTTCTCTCTTTACCAGTGTCTCTAATAGTTTTCTTTATAAGTGACTAAAGTACTTTAAACAATTTTCAATTATCTTTCTTACTATAAGTATTATTTCAATATTCTCACATATATAATCATTTCTTATCTTGTCATTTTTTATATATCATTTATTCATCTAAACATTCTCATTTCTAATCTAACTTTTTTGTATTATTTTTTTAAAATTTAATATTCACTACCATATAAGATTATTCATCATAATGTAATACGATTAAACATCATTTTCAACTTACAAATTCTTTCAGGATGAAACCAACTCCCAAGAAGTTAGATTATAAGAATTCATAATTACAATAACAATTATTATAATACTCATATATCAGAATAATTACAATAAAAAGAATCAAACCAGTTATGATAACAGATTCTTACAAGGTGAAACCAACTCCTAGAAGTTAGATTATAGAAATTCATAAACCATCATTCAATTATACTAGAATTTAAACATTTCATAAAACAAGATGAATTCCAAGAGGACATACTTTTTGAAGTGATTTTTATAATTTGATCTCGACCATATTCTTTCAAGCACACATGTGCATACGAACAAGATCTATCTAGCTTCCACTCTTCAATTAACAAATCTCGATGGTGTAAAATGCCATCAAAATATCAATAATAAAGTAGAAATACATTCTTGTATATATAAGGTTAATTTCTACCCATCACAAGTGATGAATTAGCCTTATATCACCACTCAACACAGTTACCAACAAAGTAGAAGTTCCATTTACAATAAAGTAAATTACTTCACTCTTTCGAACATAATACTTGTTATTGGTTCATTTTTTAAAAAGTTAAAAAAATTTTAAGTGATCAATTTACAAAATATGTACTTTTAAATTTTTTAAAAATGAACCAAGTATAGAAATATGTTAAAAAAACGTTCAAAAACATGTATTGATATTTCTCTTAGCAAAGTAAACATACAACCACTTCTAAAATCATAATAAGCCACATAATACAAGCTTCTAAGAAATATATTAAAGTATTTATTCAACTTATTTTATAAAACTAATTGTCAACCAAGAAAAATCCAAATCCAAAATGTTTTAAAATAATTCCTTAATCTACTTATTGTAAATCATTAGACTAAAAAAGGTAAACATCAATAATAATAAATATGTACACATTTTGACATTGTTGGGTCCCACTTTTTGACTCGATTGTGTATTGAGCTCGGTATAGCGAAAAGTAATGATTTTTTTAGTTTACATTGTATTTATTGACTTCTATAACAACTAAAGTTCGTTATATATGTACATTTGTCAGACCTAAATTCTGGAGGCAGTTCAACACACTCAGCAAGTACTTTCATTTGAATTCTCAATTGCTTTTCATTTTTATGAAGGTTTGAACAATTACAACTGTACCTATCCAATGGCAAGATACAATATCTCAGCAAATTGGTTGAAGTTAAACAGAGGCCTTAATTGTGGCAATGAATTTCAAATGAAACATATGTAAAAAGTCTAGCGACATCTTTTCAATTACTATAACCAGAACACCGGAGGGAACCACCTTGAGCCAACATAAACCACTCAGTTGGGGTTATGACAGAAGTCACAAAACAATGGGAAGAATCAGATGAGCTATGTACAAACTGTCCTTTCAGAGAAATGGCAGAATCCATGACAAGTTGTTGGACAAACAATCCATCTTCAGAAGGAACTTACATGCATAATATTAGGATTAAAAATCTGCAAAACAAAATAGAATCAACAAAAGGACGTGTGGCTGAATAAAGAATTGCAAAAGCAACAAACAAGAAAATCTGAATATAAGGCAAAACCAATTTAATCACCACATACAGAATTCTGCAACGTTGCCTTGAAAGTAAAAAACTTAAAATGCAAAGAAACCTCTGAAAAATACAACCAGGGATAAAAAGAAATGAACTGTTATGTCAAAACTCAGAATGAAAGAGACAAGACAACTTAACGGTTTACTTGGCATTTGGTTTTAAAAAATGTCAAAAACTCATTGTTTCCTAAACAAATTTTTGAAAAAAAAGAAAACAAAACAAAATGAAAACAAGGTAACATTGTTGTAATTAAAAGTGAAAGCATAAAATACTTTCTCAAATCAAATGGCCCCTAATCCAAGGCATAATAAATTGACTACTTTGTTCTTCCACATTTTGCCTTGGCAAGTGCCAAAAATTGACCTAAAAGATTAGTAAGTTTTAGGATTTATTTGTATTGAATAAAAGATTATTTCCATGAAAGGACAGAACAAGTACACACCCATATCCCCCCCAACCCCCCCACACACACGAGAGCTCCCATTTCTTGTGCTAAGCATCAATATGATACAACCGACCCAATCTGACCACTTCAACCAGAATATCAGCGAGCCCATATTCCACTAAACCATTGAGCACTCGCTCTGGTCCAAAACCAGTTTAACCCAGTTTTTTTTCTTCAATTTTTATATATTTTTTTCATTAAATTTAAAACATTTGTTGAGACATAAAGACACAAAAATTATCATTATTCTTCTATTATTGATTTTTCATCTATATGACATATAATATGATCCTTTTATGCAAATTCAAAATTTTATCAAACTTGATTTATCATGATTATATGTTAGTTTTTCACTTAATATATTATATAACATTGAGAAGTATTTAATTATCACTGGTTCAGTTCAACTATGATTGAACTAATTAACAGTGAACTAGTTTTTGTTTACACTGATTCAATAACCAATCTGTTTTTTTTTTCTTTCATGTTAGTGCTAAGTACTAACACTCAATAAATAATATATTAAAAATTTTGATTTTTGACCGAGCCCAACAATATATGATCCACATATTCAACTACACCTAGTGAAATAAAAGCTTTGTTGTTGTAGATGTACTATTAACACTCCATGAAATCCAAGAAAAAAAAACCATCTATTCCATCTATTTTACAATTAAGAACAGAATACGAAGTCTTACCCCCGAGAAAACATGTATAGTGTAAACTGCACCAGCAGGTGCAAGTTAATTCAAAGAAGAGCTAATATGGTGCAACAAGTTTACATGAAGAACAACTGTACCAGTCTAGCATACAATTAGCAATCACAGACAAATTCTGACTCTGCCAACAAATACTGAAATAATGTTACATACCAGGACTTTTGCTAGTCAGCATGTTCACATCAGGTCAGTTTTTTTTCATAGAAAAAGATACACAACTGACAACAAAGTATAAAAGTTCAGAACGAGACAAGAAATCCTACAAACAGAAAAAATGATTCAATATAAAAAATCACCAAAAACCAACAGGAAAAAGGTAAACCTCACGAAAAACCATTATCAAGAAATCAATACTAAATAGCTTACAGAAAAAGGTACAGTGTAGAGTAACACCACCAAACACCAGCCACTTCAAACTTAACCAAAACTAGATTTAGCAAGCCTCCTCAAAATTTGAGTAAGCTTAAAAAGTGAATCATGCATCCTAAAGAAATTCCCCCAGAAATCAAAGGCTATCTCTAAACCTTCATAATAATATAACAGTAACAACTGCTTCCTCTGCCTCAAACGATATAAAATTATCTTATCACTTTCTCTAAAACATTCCTAAGAGAGCTTTTGACAAAAAAAATCTCCAAACAAAAGGAGAACCAAACATGTGTTGTCACACCTAATAATGTGTATGTAACACTTGAAAAGTCCAATATTGACCAAAGGTGTGAGGCAAGATCATGGTCGCTTACCTTATTCTCCTTTCCAATCTATCAATTCACTTCGTGGTGCATACAGGGTAGCAGCCCGTTCTTCTGCCTCAGTATCATTTACTATACCCCGGCACTTTGGGAAGCCGCAGTAACAAGCAAGCCGTTCATCAATTGAAAAAAATCTGTCACATTATTTGAAGAAAGTCAGCACAATATTAAATTAGAAAGAATTATAATATATTTAGAAAGTTTAATGATACACACAACTAAAACCAATACAAACAAGAATTTTGTTTGGTTTTTTCATTGTGCATATATCAGAACTCATTTGAATAAGTAGGAAACCTATAATCATATGTAAGCTCTTCCCACTGTTTGATGTCCCTCTTAGCAAATATTATAATATGCTCATCGCCATTAACACTTATAACTCTTGAATAGCAATTCGGCTGCCCACAAACAAAAAATATATCGGTAAGCAATTAATTTTTTGTCTTCAGCAACCAAAATAAATTCACCAGTAGAATTGCAGTATTGCCAAACCAAAATCAACAGTAGAATGTTGAATTCAACCTTAGGACAAGGATACATCAATTTTAAAGCAATATACTTTCATTTGATGGGGGCATCAATGTATATTCATAGCCTTGTAGGTCTTAATCAAACTGCTCCACGGCAAATGTGAACCATCTTATGAAAAGTCATTTAATAATGCAACAAATCTGTCAATATTCTACAACAGGGCTAAGTCTTCTCAAGAATACAAATACCCAATGATAAAAAATAGAAATCCTCCAGGCACCAGAGTGTACATTGAAAAATCTATCAACTAAATCTCATATAACAATTTGAGAAGGCTGATTGAAATGGAAATTTTTAACAAGCAAAGTGGATTAATGGAAAATGTAAAATTAAGGTGAAAAGGACGCACTGCACAAGAATGATTAATTAAATGAGCAATGCTTCCCGCTCTGGTAGCATCAATGACTCTTTCATCATCAATCCGAAACATATAGGTTCCAGCACCCTGCATGAGAGAAAGAAACACAAGTTACTATATGCTGCATAAGCATGTAATTAAACATTTCAGAAGATGCGGTAATAATTCTATAACTAGATTATTCATCACCAAAGGTGCAATAGTACAAACATTCTTGTGCATGTCGACAATAAAAGGTTCAATGAAAAATATGCAGTCTCTTTTAGTTCAAATTTTCATGGTTATCAAAAATATGTTTCTTCCCATCACAAGCATTTATTAACTTGAAATGCAAACACCATGCCAGGGCAGGAGAAGGCAATGAAAAAATGCAGCCAAAACATATCTAAGGAAACCATTAAAGATTACTAGCTGATTCACCTCAAATATCATTTTCAAACAAATTAGCCATCCGACAACACATCTTATACAAGCACATTTGATAAATTAAAAATATTTACCACCAATGAATTGTATATGAAGTGCTCTCTCCGGTCAGCTATAGGAGGTCTAACAAGTTCACCAGTGTATTCAATCACCTGAATAAATAAAATCAATAAATCAGGCCTTTAAAGATGACATGCTCTAAACAAAGAAGGTTCATTCAAATGGAAAATATTCTCTTTACCATGTCTCCACCTTTATATGGATGCTTTGCAAAGATGCCAAATCCATGAATTCTTGATTTCCCTTAAATTATAAAAAATAAAAAATAAAATTTTCTAAGGTAAGATAAGATAAAATTCTCCATAGTTAATTCTCAAATTACATCTCTCCATGTGAATAATAGTCAACTTTCCACAAAAATAAATATTTTCCCTATTCCCACCAATTTTGAAAAATATTGACAGACAATTATTCCTACCAAATGCCAGCTGTTTCCGAAATGTTTCCCGCATGTACTTGTATTTTTCAGCAGTAGAAAGTATGCTGTTTGAATTGTCAGTCAGAGAGGTTTTCAGCCTTCTACAAAAGAATTTTGAGCAGACTCCTCTGCCAGAAGGCTCTGGGTTGTTTAACGATCCATGTTGGCAGTATCCACCTACTAAGTAAGGTTGATTCTCCACAAACAAACGTTTCAACGATGCAGCTGCAAGTGCTTCAGGTTCTTTTCGGCCTCTCCTGCCAAAGTAATCATATGGCTCTGCACAAGAAGATAACAGCAGACCTTATTTAGCAAATTCGTCTTTAGAAATGTAATTGAACAATTTTAAGAACTTAATGAGGAGCCAGATAGAGAGAACAAGTGCATATCAATACATGAGCTAAAATGCAGAGATAAGATCAGTCAACAGAATCTTTCCCACAAACAATGTTATCCTAAAGTGCAATCATCAAAAGACTCACCCATTACCCAATCCACCATCCATCCCCTCAAGCAATATACAATAGGGGTCCAGACACTTTCCACCAAGCTTCAATATCTCTATATTCATACACATGTACACATCCTTTTATTTTGTGTGTCAAGATGTCCTACATTAGCTAAGAATACATCAGAATACTCTTCATTAGACTTAAAGCAATCCTTCTCCTCTAAGCTAGGTTTAGGGAGTGAGTTAAGATCAATCTGCTTCCAATAGTAGTATAGTACATATCCTAATTGCCTCAAGTGGAGCCTTAGAAGTGCTAACGCAGAAAGCATCCATAACCAAATGATATAATTCACACCTCAATAAACCCAAATACACAGCATAAAAAGCTGGACAACTAAGAACTTGAGCAAGGAATAGAATGAGCAATTTTTGTACCGGAGCAAAATAATCCCTCCCATGAACTGAGAAATATGATTGATGTCATAACAATTTTGATAAGAACATCGGGCAGATATAGCCAGATACAATTTTGATAAGAACAGTGCTATACAGTATGAAATGTTATGATAGAAATAATCACAAAATCAAGGAGGGTCAGCTGCATCACTGGATTAGATTTCGATCCCAAAATAAATGGTAGCAACCATTCGTACTAGTTCTGTAGTCAATAAGTTTATACTTTAGAAGCAATTATGTTTGATAGATGGTTGGCTAGGCATTGTTCTTTTTAAAAAAGTTTTTTCACCATTCATATTTCATAGCACAGGAATATGGTTAAAAGTTGAAAAATTTTTTTGACCCTGACCAAACTAAAATGTTTACTAATATCTCAACAAATTCATTCTCACGCATCAACTCAGCTACTCTGCCAGCCTGATCCTGGCAGTCTATTATTTCCCTTTCCAAATAGCAACAAAACATTATTTGTTTAATAAACAGATTGTCAATCCAATCAAAACAAAAAAAAAAACAATTTCAAGCAATGTGATTTGACTGTCCTCATCGTTAGTCTGGTATGAAATGAAGTATATGATTTTCAAATCAGTTTAGTTGATGTTAAATAGGGAAGAAATGGAACTGAGCCAAAGATTGCACACTTCAAAATATTGAACATGAACAAGAATTGATTTGAATATAAAAGTAACAAGTCAGTAAAGTGACAAACAGCGTAACATCAAACCAATTAAAAATCACCAAACTTAATTTTGGTTACTCTTTCTTGGTAGCTGGTGCTAAGCAAGTAAACAATATGAAAGTAAGAAATTGTTTTAGTAAAACAATTGTCAAATATCATACCACTTCGAGCACAACCAGATGGATTGGGTGGTGGTTCATAGTCTGAACACTGACCAGCAACTCGAACAATACGTTCATCAGCAACAGAATGATCATTAGATGGCTGCCTATGTTTCTTGCAGAAAGAAAGTAAGCGAATGCACTGGTCTTCGTCATCATCAACAGAAAGTAGATATAACCTGTCCTCGTTCTCAAGCTATAAAATTGTAAAAATAAATACATGGATCACTAAATAATTTTTAGCTAATAATTGTATCAACCCAACACAACACACTTGAGGTCAAAACAAAATAATTTATAAAACATGAATTGGAAAAAGAGAAGGATAAATACCTCAACACAGAGACCAGCTGCACGTGCACAAAGTGGATGATATGCCACTCGACAAGAACTATTTGAACACTAAGCAAAATTGAAATTTGAAAAAAATCACAATTTAAACCCAAACAAAAAAAAAAGCTTAATATAACATACTAGTTAAGCCCTATGAATTATGTGTTATACATACATACATACATAAATGCAAGTACAGACATAGAGTGTGTATCATGTAAGAACAAGAGGACTAATATTGACCTAATCAAATATGGATGGTCAAGATTGGTTTATGTAAAATATTGAATTTGCATAGTTGTACGGTCAAGACTCAAGAGTAGCTACTCACAAGCTCTCGGCTAATATGCTCCCCCTATATATACATATACACGTAATAAAATCTTACGAAAAATAACAGTAAAATCCATGTAGGTTTTGATTGTGCTTTAGGCATCAGGTTGTTTGCTATGTTTTAGTTAACAGAGACTTGGTGCTCCATCTGTAAAGAATTACCTGCCTATATGCCCTAAACTATTATTCAATTAAAGACCCAGACCACTTACTTGGATGCAGGCACCATAAGAAACACCGCATATGCTGCATAACAACTTCCAGCGGTCCTGTTCAGATGCAGAATTTACAGAATTAAAAGAAAACCAAATGGCAAAGGAGTTGGTAAATATATGTACTAATTTAGAATCTCACAACCTAATCATTGACAAATAAGCAATTTAGTAAAAATTTAAACAAAAAAAATGATGAAAAAAAATTAGCAAAACAACTTAGAAACACAAAAACAAAACAAAATGGAAAGAATTAATAGTTATAAAGGCATACCTTACTAATTCTACTCAAACCATCAATAGGCTCCATTTTCTTGACATCAGCTAAGCATGTTTCTGGCAAAAATTATAACACCTAGTAAACATAACAAGACATAGGATTAAAAAAGAATAAATAGTCATACACAAACAAACCAGGTATCCACATGGCACAAGCCAAATGAGCCCACCGGCCATCAGTTGTAGGCTTCATTGCACCACCTAGAAGAAACACCATTAAATACTCAATGCTATATAATTCTAATTTTAAGACAGATAAATTTTAAAAGGTCTTAGCATACCTATGAGTGGACATAAGCAGCAAGGTGGGGGAGGAGCACCCGATCGACATAAGTTGCATAACCATAGCACTCCATTAACAGGTTCCAGTTCTCCATAGCATCTAGCATGAACCTAAACGAAAATTACAGTTCACAGCTAAATATCAATAAAAGTAGATTTTTAATGGTTTGTTAAGCAGTGTCACAGATGTTAAACCCATTATTAATGTTACATAATCTGCAGTAATCCAGGGGAAGAACTGCAAAAAAAAATAATAATAAATTACTGGAATCATACCATCATTCTGCATTTGTCACACTGCAGAAACAGATTGTTCTCGTACTCCTACAACATAAATAACTCGCATTTAGCATGAAAGAAACAATCAAAATATAAGCAAACAAACATTTTTATTTCCCTTGAATGAATTTGGGCCACAGGAGAGGTAAAACAAAAACAACTATGCCTTATCCCACTAATTGAGATCGGCTACATGAATCACCAGTCCTTATTGAGTTTGGTCAAAAACCAAATTTTCAAAATGTTATTAATCAAAAGACATGGAAGTAAGAAATATAAATCATAATTAAAAAAGCATGGAAGCATATAAAAAAAGCAGAAGCTCTAGAGGATTAAAGAAGGGAGAATAAACTATGTACCTCATCCATGTGGCACACATTGCACTTATCAAGGTCAAACCAGTTAATATGAACCTGTCTATAACCAAGAGGCAGGTCATTATATCTTCTGGAACCTAAGTTCTTCGAAGAAATTTTTGATTTAGACAATCCCTGGAAACAAACAACACTTCTTTCAGTAAAAATTAAGCATCAGGCACACAAGCTGAAAGGATGTGTATTATATCAAAAACAGTTGGTTGACTCAAGAACTTGAAAACAGAATAAGCAAGAGAGATTGAGAGGCTAAAGAATTATTTATAGAATATGAAAACTAAAGAATGATCATGTGAAGCCAAATACCAAGCAAAAAAATAAATAGTATAGAGAGAAGGGGAGCACATAAATAGATTGGCAATGCCTACAAAATTGTCAACTTTTTGGTACAACAACCAACCCTTATCCCACTAGATGAATTCAGCTATATGAATTGGTAGATACCATTGAACTATACCAAAAACCAAACTCTACAGTTCACCAAGTTGTCAACGGGAAAAATTACAATATTTCCTAATTAATTCCTTTAATTTCCAAAACATTGATCATGAGCTGCAGAAGAAAACAAAGAAGAGACTTACAATTAAACAACATACCTGTATAAGTTTAGCCACTTCAGGATTGGAGAAACCGAACATATCTGACCCAGATTCATAACCCTTTTCTACTCCACTTTCAGCAACAGTACCTTCAGAAGCATCCTTTTCCACTTTCTTTATCCTTTTGTATACCTGATTCCAGCAAGCAGATGGTGTATAACCATTGAACTGCATCCAAATATTAATAACAGGATTAACCCAACCCACTGATATGAGATATTCTTTTCCAGTTTCTTTTGCAAGACAAGGGAAAAACAAAGTAAAAAAAAGTAAGGTAAGTTAGTTAAGTAATTAAACAATTAGAAACACATAAATCCTGCTGTTGAAGTGGCAAACTGTGTGTCACCATAGATCTTAATACTTTTGTCATCAGAAACAGAAAACTACACAAAATAAAAAAGGAGAAAAAAAAAAGCTGAGATATGTCAATGAAGGTGAAATCAAGATGTTCATAGGAGATATTTTCCCTCTCCCCCCCCCCCCCCCAAAAAAAAAAAGAGACTACAGAAGTATAAGCATTAGACGATTCAATATCAAATTATCAGAGAAACAAAAGTCTATTGGTGCATAATCATTTCTTATAGAAAAAACCAACCTGCTCACTACCATCAACTGTCACTCTAAAAAGTGGTCGGAGTTTGGATTCTGGATCTCTCAACACCTCCATCTTGTAAGGGACAGATACTTTAGGGTCTAAACAACCAAAAGGAAGAAAATAGAAGGAAAAAAAAAATACAGAATCAGAACTGCTAGAACTAAGATAGCAAATATGAATGATATGATGTGTTTGACAATTTTTAGAACATTCAAAAAAATCAAACAAAAGAATATGACGTGAACATCCCAAAAACAATAACAACAATAATATAAGCTTCACCGGAAACTGAAGTGAACTTCCTCACTGCTGTGTACCCTTCAGGCCAGATGAATCTTCCATCTCCAAAAGATGCAGAATCTTCAACTATTTTTCCTGAAAAAAATAAAGGTTAACATTCCTGTGGCAACATTGTCCATTTGCTGTCACCATATTGTCCATAACCAAGAAGTAATACCAAAAGAGAGGGGGGGGGGGGGGAGGTGGAGAGAGAAGAGAGTAACACTACTTGCCAATATATAAGTAAAAAATATGCATGCAATCAATCCAGAGAGTATTTTTCTGCATTTGTATTTATCAGAAAGAAGATAAATTTTCATTAAAAACAAGATATACTGTACAGTATGACTTGCTTATTCTTGAATATAAATTACATAATGATATTCAAGAATTTAAATTTGATCCAATATCAGTGTACAGCTTTGTACACTATCAGTTGAATTGAAATATTAAAGGTTATGTTTGGAATCTGGATGGCTGTCTTGGAAATCAAAGAGGGAAATCAGATAATGTAACTAAGTTGCAAGATTTATTTTAAGGTCCAATTAGGGAAAAGAAAAGTTACATAAAGAAATTCTTGAGAACATAAAATACTAATAATCATGAAAATTACCAAGATTTAGAATTTGCATGTCTCCTACTTCATAGGGAAAAGTTTCAGTGTTCTCCTGTGCTGGCCATATCCCCTTGTCATTCAAACAATCATCACCTGAATCTGTACATCCTTCAACCTCTCCACTTACATTGTTACAGTCATCAGCTGTACATCTTTTCTGCAACTCTAGCATCTCTAAAGGAAGCTTCTGTTCACTTAAGTACCTGTTTGAGTGAAATAATTGCAAAACCAACAAATTTGAGCAACCATTTGAAAATTCTTCAATTTTGAGAATCAATGCAGAGAATTTAAAAAATCAAAAAGCTACGTTACAGAGAATGACTAAGCATTTTAATTTAAGCAGACTAAGGCATATGCATGGATGATGCAGGTCAAAGTTTTTGGGACACAACACCTTAAGAATTACCCTTGACTGAACCAAGACCACAAGTCAACAAAGTTGAAAAAATCAAGTCATCAGCCAAACAATTAAAATATTAGACAAGTTGAAAAAATAAAGCCATTTTTAGGTTTATAGAAATGAGAATCAGTCAATCAAACTTTCTTCCTCAGTTTAACATGTTTATTTATATTCCACAATGCAATTTTGTTACGATAGCCACTCTAGCACTACAACAACCTAAGATAGAGCAAAACATAAAAATTAGCACCAAAAATGTCCACAAACAATTGGAATAGCAACATATTAATGTTCGCAATTTTTTATGTTCTACTTAATAAATATGAGAACAGACGAAGAGAAAAGGCATGATTAACATTACCTTTTAGCCTCTTCTAAACCCTCAATAAAACTATGTTTCTTGCATTTTGAGTGTAGATCAGTAAGAAGTCCACTGAGAAATGATTTCACCTGTTGCAGTCTAACCCTGGAAAAAACTATTGTATAAAGACAACAGTCTCTCACAAAACATGGAAAACAAATTTTTTTCTTGGTTTTCATATAATATTAAACCTTGCAAAGTCATGGGTGCCAAAAAATTGGACAGGAACTGATCTTCCTCCTATATATGTTTTTAAACCCTTACAGTTGCTAGCAAGCAATTCATCCAGAACAACAGCTGGCCACATTGCATGACCTGCAAAATAAAAAGATATAACTACTATAACTGTTACAAAATTAACAAGATTTATCTAATAGTAACCAAAAATAAAAGTAACAACCAGAAAAGGCATTTTGAAGTAGGCAAAGTCTGGTCTCCCTAAATAGAAAAGATATAAATATAAAAAAGTATACAACAATGATAAGATTACAAATTTTCTTATGTTTTTCTTTGTTGTATGTTGTGTGTTTTGTATAGACATTGAGGAGGATAAGACCTTTCAGCTCTTAGAATTTCTCTTTCATCAAAAAGCTTAAAAATTTAGTTCACTAATGTTTAGATACATAGTAGGTAGCTTAACCACCAGAGGCCAAAATCCGTCTCAGCAAACAAAACCAATCTACAGAACTAAACATGGTAACAATGATTGGACAATTAATATTCAAAATCCCATCAGGTGCGCAAAATAAAAAATTTCTGTATAACAAATAAATAAAAATAAAAACACTACACCTCTACCTAAAGCGTTCTTTCAGTCCCTAACAAGACAGACCATTTCTTAAAAATCAAAGAAGGCAAGATATCTGACAAATACAGCATCCATACATTCTATGAAAGTTATATTCACATTGCTCTAGCATATGCCTTTTTTCAACACAATGTGATCCAAGAACATATGTGTCATTTCCTAAATGTAATTAATCCAATTTAAATTTTCAAAACAATTACAAATGAAGATTAAAGAAAAATCTTAAAACTGTTGGAATGCTTCAGCATGTCTCAACTTTTAATGTGCCTCACAATCCAAAAGAATTTTGGGGGACGAATTATTTCATTTTTTGATCTAGAATAAATAGCTTCAATAAATTATGATGCACATAGTGGAGACCATTTACAATGAAAACCCACTAGAAACACTGACAAAATCTATAACAACGTACCAGAAAATACAACATTTTAGTTTCTTGACCAACCATCAGGAGAAGCAAATGCAAAAGGTACACTAATCAATAGAATAAATGAAGTCGCAATCAATGCAAAAACAGCCATGCTAGCCAAAAATGTTTCTTTAGAACCAATACTTAACATAAATTATCCTCTTTCCTAGTAAAGGGGCAAGAGAGATTCGAAAGTAATGAGAATATCATAATATTATTTCCAAAGCAATAAACAAAAATTTGCAGTTTGCAGTGGTAAATGAATGTGTGGTTGATCAAATAAAAACAAGAATAATTAATAACAGAAGTTATTTAAATTCAGATTGTACTCAAATTCTAAAAAACAGGATAACAATTCAAATAAAGATTTGCGCAAAAAACCATTTGCAAATGGAACAACATAACAAGATTGAGCACAAACCAGTTAGCTTGGCCCATATGATATCCCCTGGCTCAAAGTCTTGACAATCATCCAAACTTGCAGCCAATGCAAGCATCTCTTCAATGTCATAATCAGAGACATTACTGTCACGAACTTTGGCATAATTCAATTTTAAACGTTTTGTCTCATCACGGGAAACATGGAATTTTACATTTTCATCTGAAAGAGTTAAATTTTCCTCGTCGCCGTCGTCATACTTGACCTGCATATAATTTTGAAAAAAGGATGAAATTGCAAATATCAAGTCCAATATTGTTATTGGTAAATACAGATAGATCATAGATGCACCAAAATTTTGTTTGAAGCGATTCAAATCAATCAAATAATAATTTAGATAATGGAGGGCCATACGTGATGAGTCTTAGTTTCCTTATCGTAACCTTTGACATAGCCAGTGTATGATCTTAAATCTATGGGCCAATAAACCTGCAGAAAACAAGGTCTGACAATAATAAACTGTATTTGTATGAACTGATTCAGTGGAATGAACATAAAACTAACAATAACCCAAAGGTCACAAAACATTGCCTTGCATCGCAATCCGACAAATGCCTCCGGATCAGCATTATCAAAACTCAACCTGCAATAATTGCAATTAACATCCATGTCAGGTGTTTTACCACCATGCAGAAATCATAAATCAACTAAACAAAACCTCATTAGCCCTATCCACAGAACTAAACATTTTCCATTTCCCTACATATTTAGGCAAAGCTCAAACTCGTGGAGCTTTCATTCCTTCAGTCCAAACAAACACTGTATTTCCTAAAAAAACAATAAAATAAAAGCAGATACACAGAATTTTCCATTTCCGCAAGTGAGATCTAACAAGTAAGATTTTCTCCTCCCTACCACTCAGAAATCATAAACCAAGGAAACAAAACACAAGCTAAAGTTCATATTCACTGAGCTTCTCTTTCTAGAGTCCAAACAAGCAACCCAATTGAAAACCCCACAAAATTCCAAAGCAGACCCACGAATTTCCCAATCCTACAAGTGTAACAACATTTTCTCCTAATAATGCACCAGAAACAAAGTGAGAAAAGTGAATTACCCCAACCATCTCTTCACGGAACGAGATTCAGGCAGCAACTTGGGTAACTTCTCCAAGGAACCACACTTAACGTTCCCAGCAACCACAGAATTCCCCAATTGGCCGCGACATTCCCTCAATCGAGGCCCATCGACGCTCCCAATCGCAGTATTCAAATCAACGCCCAACTTCTCCAACTCAGTGGTCCCAGTTTTCCTCTTCTTCAGCAACCTCCTCTCGCCATCAGATTCCTTGTTCACGGACTCAACCCGACCCGCGGGCGAATCGCAAAACGACACCGTGGGAGAGAAACGCCTCTTGCGCCGGCGAGAGTAGACATAAATGAGAGGTGGCTTGGGAAGCGACAGCGACGGCGTGGTTTTCTTGTTGCTCTGATGATCGAGAGGCTGCGCGTTTTCGGTGTGGTTGAAATGGTTGAGAGTGAGCTTGCGAGCCTTGACCTTCTTCGACATGACATTGGAGGAGCCACTGGCGGTGACGCGGCAGGGTGACGTGGCGGAGTAAAGGTGATCGAGTGGAAGGTAGCGAATGGGAGTGCCGCGCGTGGTGTGCACGTCGATGTTGGTGTCCTCTTCTCCGCCGCCAGCTTCTGGGAATGCTGCTTCCATTGGCGAGAGAATAGCGAAATTGGAGAATGTTAGGGTTTTTGAGAGAAAGAGAAAGCGCAGTGATGGACTTTGGAGGGAAGCTTATTCGCCAAATAATTCTGTTTCCCGCCCTGTGGAGACAGAGACTCCTCCCACTCTCTCTCTCTCTCTCTCTCTCTCCTTCTTCAAAGTGCAGCTCTTGTTTGTTGGGCACACACCTTAGCTTAGCAATAAGGAATCGCTTATCGACGATTGTGAGATATATCTTACCCTCCTATTTCCTATTTCCTATTTCCTATATCCCTAGCACACACGTGACAACCTTTTTATTCTGTCTTCATCTTATTAATCCAAATTAGGATTAACGCAGGTTTATGTGAATTTCATTTATTAATTAAAACTGCATTCGAATAAGGGTGTGCATGTACTGTTATTAGCGTTAATGTGCTGATGTCTCTGTGACTCTGCTCTATACATCATACATGCACTTTTTTTTCACAAGTAGATCAATATTCAAATTTTAAATTTTAGTTCAGTTAACATTGGTTAATATTTAATGACTTTAACCAACCATCTTTAAACACGAGCATGTTCAGGGTTTAGTTTTTTTTTATCTTGCCAAGTGAAACTTTTAACTGTTGTCTGTTTTTTAATTCAATGTTGTTTTTTCTTGTTTTTTATTATAATAAATTTTGTATTGTTACTAATTATAATGTTCACACTTCACACGATTTGTTAAATTTTGAAATAGTCATGTGCTGTGTTTTATTTAATTACTTGAAAATTATAAACCATTTCAATGAAACTTGTGTAATGCATGTAAAGATTATTAATTACTTGAAAATTAATCTATTTTCAATTTAATCTAGTATATAGAATTTTAAAATTTAAATCAAATTAGACTTGAAATTTAAAAAATTGCAATTTAAAGGGATGTTATTTAATGAGTCGAGTGTAAGTGTGAGATTACTGTGATAATGTATGAGCTTGTGTCATAAAATTTGAGAGTTTAGGAGTCCAACATTAAAAAAATAAAATAAAAAGAACGAAGACTTTAGTCATGATATTAAGTTATAACATTGACAACATAATTTAATAATATAAAATCTTTTAAACATTATTATTAATAATAAATATCTCATTTTATTAAATAGGATTAATTAAGTATAATTATTTAAAAATATAAAAATTATTTTAAAATTTCAAAAGTAAAATTCAAGTTTAATTACAAAACTATCCATCCTTTTTTTTTTTGACAAAGTATATAAAAATTCAAAATTTAAAATTCTAGTTCAAATTAAAATTGGTTAATATTATAATCATCTTAAATCAAACATGAGCATTTTTAGGGATCAGTTTTTTTCTATCCTGTCAAGTAAGTGAAATAATAATTACTCTTTAAAAATAAGTTTTTAATTTTTGTATATAAAAAATCACGTTTGAATTAATGTGAATTGTTGTAGGTGTGAGATAGTTTTGGCAAATGTGTGACTGTGTGAGCTCTAGTCAAAATATTTAAAAAAAAAATAAGTAAAAGGGATTAAGACTTTAGTACAAATATAGTACTACATAGAGGTATTTTACAGGGTTATTATTATGTTATAATATGTGACAACAATATAATGATTATGGAACCAAAGTTAATAGTTATTTTGTTGCATATTTTGAAAAAGAAAAAAGTGTTGTAATTTATTTTTATAACTAAACGTGTGAACTTGAGTCATATGATCTGAGAGCTTAGAAGCCCAACATTTTTAAAAAAAGTAAAAGGAGTTGAGGGCTTTAGTTATGATACTAAGTTATAACACTGAGAATCTTAAAAAATATTTTAAACATTATTATGAATAATAATGATCTCATTTTACTAAATATAATTTTAAAAAAATATAAAAATCATTTTAAATTTTTCAAAAAATAAAATTCAGGTTTAATTAAAAAACTATCCATCTTTTTTTGACAAGGTAAATCAAGATTCAAAATTTAAAATTCTAAGTCAAATTAAAATTGATTAATGTTATAATCATCTTTAAATCAAAACATGAGCATTTTTAGGGATTAGTTTTTTTTTTATCCTAGTGAAATAATAACTACTCTTTAAAAATATTTAATTAGTGTAAATTGTTGTAGGTATGAGATAGTTTTAACAACGTGAGCTCAAGTCAAAAATTGAAAAAAAAAACAAAGTACTATTTTATAAGATAATTATTATGATATAAGATGTGACACATCAATATACTGATTATGGAGTCAAAATTAATAATTATTTTGGTGCATATTTTAATAAAGATAAAAGTGTTGTAATTTATTTGAGTGAATCATCACTTAATTTTTTTTTTAAAGAAAAGCAAAAGACACACTAAAACAAGAATGGAAGAGTAGTAGATGCTGTCCTCTGATTAGGTGGAGCTGGCAGCCAACCCATGAAAGTAGCAGCAACTTCCTTAACAAAAACAAAAAAAAGCAAAGGAAAATACTCATTAACGGTTTAACAAACGTGACGAGTTAAATTATCCCTATCCGATATTAAGATATCCGTATACCCAAACAAAGGGGAAAATGTCCAGCTAGACGTAACAAGAAGAGTTTCTTTGTGGCAATGAAAAGTACTAAGAAGATGGTTAAAAACCCGTAAACGTAAACCCTAGTAGTTTAAATAGCCTCCAACTTCTTCCGCTTCTTTCTCTCTCAACACCACAAATCCCGACGCACTCTCTGTTCGATTCTCGTTGCTCTCACTGATTTTCTAAACCCTAGAGAAGGCTCTTTCTAGGGTTTAGATTCCTCATCGCTTCCTCAATTCTCGTTTCACAGGTTGATCGGAGTTCGTGTTGTTATTTTTTGATCGAATTTTTGTTTCCATGGATCTTCCCAGTCTCGCTGTTATACTCCAAGCCGCTCTCAGTCCCAATCCAGATGAACGGAAAGCAGCTGAGCAGAGCTTGAATCAGGTGCGAGTCCCGTGGTTTAATTCGATTGATGATCAGACTTTTGATCGGTTTTCGCTTTATATTGACTTGATTCACTCCGGCATAAGTGTTTACGAAGTACAGGCACTTGTAGAACGTGTTGATTTTGTTGTGCGAGTGCGGATTCAATGTAGCAGTGATTTAGTTTAATGAATTTAAATTTTCTTTGTATGTGTATTGATGATCTTATTGATTATTGAATTAATTTTCGTGTAAGTGTTTATAAAGAACTAAGTAAAATCAACTTTGTTTTCTCTCGGTATCCGTGTCCATTTATGTACGTAATTGAATGCATTAGTGTTTTTAATTTGATGAATTTTCTAACTTAGATATGTTTTCTGTTAAATATATATATACAGTTCCAGTATGCGCCTCAGCATCTTGTGAGGCTGTTGCAAATCATTGTAGACAACAATTGTGACATGGGAGTACGACAAGTGGCTAGTATTCATTTCAAAAACTTTATTGCCAAGAATTGGTCTCCACTTGACTCTGGTATGCCCTTTATCATATGTGGGAATTAGATAATGGATCCCTTTGTTTGCTGATTGTTCTCTTCTTTCGCGGTTGATGCAGATGCCCCCCAGAAGATCTCAGAGAGTGATAAAGATGTGGTGAGGGATCATGTTCTCGTGTTTGTAACTCAAGTTCCACCTCTGTTGAGGTACAGTTGTTCATCTCTGGCTGCCTGGTGTTTAGTAGCACATTTCTTGTCTTTTTTCGATACGTGTTGATTTCTTGCCTTCATGACTCTCTTTACCACAGTGGGTAATCATGAATCATGAGGGGGGGGGGGGTTCTAAACTTTGCGGCATATTTTTTATTTTGTGTGATGTCTGTTTATTTCCACTGTTTTGACTTCCGTTCATTGCTCACATATTGTGCTTATAGGGTACAACTTGGTGAATGCCTTAAAACGATTATACATTCTGATTATCCTGAGCAATGGCCTCATCTTCTAGACTGGGTGAAGCATAACTTACAGGATCAACAAGTCTATGGTGCCTTGTTTGTGCTGCGGATTCTTTCTAGAAAATATGAGTAAGTTTGTATCTATTATATTTTAATTGAAAGAAATTGGGCTGCTTTTCTTGCTCATGTCTTTTGGTGATATTTTTCTCACTAGCTGCTGCCTGCTAATTTGTCCATGTTTTTGTCATAGTACTTTTGTTTCCAAACCACAGAAGTTCCTGTTTGGTTTCCATTCTTTTTAATTCAACAATTTCCAAACCACAGAAGTTCCTGTTTGTTTTTCATTCTTTTTAATTCAACAATTACAATGTCATGAGCATGGTAGTTAAAATTGCGTGCCGAAATGTAAAATGGCATGATCTCCAACCCCCTCTCCATGCTAGCACGGTGCAAGGATCATGGATTAGCAAGATCAGATGGGATCGTTGTGGCATAACCTACAACCGGTGAGCTTGGAAGAACCCCCTGGAAGACCCCCCGTGTTTCCAAACCCAATTTTTAACCTAATGATCCGGGACCCACTTTGTGACCCAGTTTGCTTGAAACTGTAAAATTGATTTCGTTTTGTAATCCCTAAACCTTTCCTCTAGTCTGTGACTTTGTTCCTCTGCTCTGCCATCCTTATAGCTTTTGCTATAATGACTGTGTTTGCTTCGGCGACCTTATCTATGCTGGTGACTCTACTCTGTGTCGGCCATTTGTCATAGTGAAGCGTTTTGCGGTGGCGGCCATCGCAGCTGTATTTGCAGCCTAATTCATAGTGCAACCATGCCACTGGAGTAAAAGTTGTCAACTTTCCTTTTCTATCCCCCAAATGAAGCAGATTTTAGGGTTTTTTAAGGGTACAAAAGACTTCTTATCTTTTAAAAATAATTTGACTTTCCCTTTTTGCCCATAAAATGACTCTATTTTAAGTTTTTTTAAGGGTAAAAATAGTCTTTAGGTCAGAATACATTACCTGATCCATCTTTTCCTTCTCTTTTCTGTCTCTCTTTTAAGTGGGCATGTCCCTGTCTCTATTTTGAGTTGAGGGTGGCTCCCTTCCCTCATTTGTCTTTGTTTAGCTTCCCTTATCTTTATATTTATACTGTTTTACATGTATTCATACAGTTTTGTAGGATTTTACGATCCGTGTTACAATCC